TGCGATTTGGGTAATCGTGGATCGATTGACTAAATCCGCACACTTTCTGCCGATCAAACTCAGTTATTCTGTTGAGCGGCTGGCCAAACTTTACGTGTTTAAGATAGTAGCGTGGCATGGAATTCCAGAATCCATCATTTCAGATCGAGACGGCCGCTTCACATCAAGATTTTGGAAAAATGTACAAGACGCAATGGGATATAAGTTAAAGTTCAGTACGGCTTTTCACCCGCAGACAGATGGCCAATCTGAGAGGACCATCCAGACCCTAGAAGATATGCTGAGGGCATGTGTCATGGACTTCAAGGGAAACTGGGATAGGAAGTTACCCTTGATAGAGTTTTCCTACAATAACAGCTATCACGCGTCAATAGGAATGGCACCTTTCGAAGCTCTATATGGAAAAAGATGCAGGTCCCCAATTCACTGGTACGAACCAGGGGAGAAGCATCTTGAAACAGTAGACTTCATCAGGAGAACCACTGAGGATGTGAGACTTATTAGAGAGAGGTTAGATACAGCTCACAGTCGCCAGAAGAGTTACGTAGATAAACACCGTAGGCCACTGGAGTTTCAGGCAGGAAACTTAGTTTTTCTGAAGGTGGCACCGATGAAAGGGGTAATGAGATTCGGCAAGAAAGGGAAGCTCAGTCCGAGGTATATAGGACCTTTTGAGATCCTTGAAAGGATTGGAAAAGTCGCATATAGACTAGCATTGCCGCCAGAATTAGCTTCTGTACACAACGTCTTTCACGTATCGATGTTGAAGAAATATGTGACAGATCCGTCGCATGTGTTGCACCAGGAACCTGTCGAAGTGCACGCGGACCTCACCTACGAAGAGAAACCAGTCCAGATCTTGGCTCGCGAGGAGAAAACTTTAAGGAATAAAGTAATTCCTTTAGTTAAAGTCTTGTGGCGAAATCACAATATTGAGGAAGCTACTTGGGAACGCGAAGAAGATATGAGGAAAAGCTACCCCGAGTTGTTCTAATTTTCGGGACGAAAATTCTTAAGGGGGGTAGATTGTAGTGACCAAGGAAAAAAATCCCATAATTTTAATAATGCAATTCATGTATTTAAGTCAAGGATTTTCCTGGAAAATCATTATACTATGTACATTTTGCGATTGAAGGATTTATGGAATTAAAATCTGCATTCCTAAATTCTGTAGCAGATTTCACGTTAAGTTCACAATTTTTCGATCAAGTAAATTCGATCGATAAATTCTCACCGTACTTTAAAACGGAAGAATTTCTAGTACAGATACAGCTTGAGAACATTAATTTTAAGAATTTCCAAGCACAATACAAACTAGCATCCAGTACCCGCATACAGGAGAAAATAGCTGTCAGTATAATTTTGGACAGTTTAATGAGTAAATTTAGAAAGTAGACAAAGGTACAAGGGTTAGGTTTCATTTTTCTCTTTCCTTCCTTCACTTGGCCGGCCAAACTTAAGGGATTATGGCCAAAAATTTGGCTAGTGAAGTGTGCTACATGGACTTCATGATGGGATTGAGTCAAATCAACTATTGGACATGAAATGCTACATCATCCCCTCTTGAAACACTCCACCGGCCAGCCACAATAAAGGGGGGGATTAATCCAAAAATCTAGCTAATTAAGCTAGTTTGGTAGACTTAAATGAGAACTAAGATGAGATCAAGTAATGTCTATAAAGGTGAGACCATTAGTGCAAGCATTAGGTTAGCCATTTTGCACATCTCCTCTCATTTTCCCCCACACCCAAACCGGCCACACTCCTCCATTTTCCCCTCAAATATTTTCTCCTACTCTCCCAATCTTGAGCCACTACAAACCATAAAAGAAGAAGAAGGAGATCAAAGGGTCTAGGAGGCGTCTAGACAAACATTTTTTCAAAGGGTATAACTCTAAATCCTTTTTTTTTTATGTTTTAGTAAAGTTTAAAATATAATATTCCTCTTAAATTTCCTCATACTTTCTAGTTCCAAGCCAATAACAAATCTTAGAAGAGTTCAAGGTTTTCAAGGGAGAGAGATAGTTCTTCAAGGGTAAGCTCTCAAACTCTTCTCCATTAATTTCTAGCCAACTTTAAGCTTGGATTTGTGGATGTAAATTTGAGGTTCTTGAGGAGATGAGTTGTAATAAGGGTGTGTGAGTTTTATGTTGGTTTGTGAGTTTTGAGGTTAGCTTGATGTGGTATGTTTATGCTTGATTTAAGTTGCTTATTTTC